GTCCCTTTCCTTATATCACAATACCAGTAAAGTTTTCTTATTTGTGTGATAAACATATTCTCGCGATTGACCTCTCCGGTTCTTCGCAACGAAGCGCTTCCTCCGTTGTGGATCACCTACCCTGGCTCCCGTTGCTTTTCTCTGCAGCTCTACCCTGCAGAGCACCCAAAGACCTCTGAGAACCACCACTCATGTGGATCTAATTTCCTCTAGCAGTATCTCTCGGACTTACCACTATTGGGGGGGACACGAGAGACTTACCAGAAGAGTAGCGACTGTGGCGTTGGCGAGAGTAACAACAGCAATTGGCACCAAGACTTCTAACACTCCTCTTTTGTATTGTCATTTCTACTACACATTACATATAACTAGAATAACAATCAACGGGTATTTACATTACGTTACCTCCTAGGGCCAATATAAATGTGTATTTACAAACATTATCCCCAAGAAACAGGAACACAGCAGTCGGCGATTCCCACACTAGTTTCAGACGGGAAAAAGACGAAAGCGCCATCTATTGACGGAGGTTGTAGGTGTTTTGAAGGCTCGTATACGCGACAATATTGCATCGTTCTGCTGCAAATTTGAAGGGAGAGGTGCCTCTCTGCTAGTAGCGTGAATATCATATTAATTTGGTTATAAAATATGTTGGTTAAACGAATAAGCATAAAAAAGATAAGAGGAGTTTCTTTTATAAATTTATTGTGCCTGCTTTCGGACCATACGTCCTTCTACAGGCATGGATTGTGGTGAAACTAACTGTTAGTTTTACAACTATCCTTGCCTGTAGAAGGACGTATAGTCCGAAAGCTTGCACAATAAATTTATAAAAGAAGCTCCTCTTATATTTTTTGTGCTTATTCGTTTAACCAATTTTTAAGAGTTCCTTATCGTTTAAAAAAATATGTTGGTGTTAAGGGAAAAAAAGAAAGGGAGAAGACGACCTGTAAATAACTGATTTAAAAGAGGTCAAGAAAGATACCTGGAAAGGCAATAGATGAGCTGCGATTGATGGCTACTAACAGATAAAATTTGTCCATGATTTGTCCATATAGTCACTATAAGTTGACTTGATGGATACTAACAACGACAGCATAAACTATTTCCATTTAAAACAATTTGACCAAGTTACCCTAGTAAGTATCCTTAATAGATGAGCTGGGAACGATAGTCATTAACAAATCAAATTTGTAGAACGACATTTGAAAATTATCCCGCATGTGTTTCTTTTGAACGAAAAATCTAAATTTATTTTAAGGAGAAATAACGCTTGTTTCCAACCTTAGGGATGAAGTATTAAAGGATGAATTGTGAAGAGTAATGATAAACGGAAAAATAAAGTATCCAGGGATGGGAATCGAGCCTACAGTGTTCCGCTTACCAGGTAGATGCCATGTCCACTAGGCTACCCTGGACATATTTCTCCGTTCGTAAATATTATATAAAGTAATTTATAATACAATATAATGAGGCTTATGATTGTAGAACAACATTTGAAAATTATCCCGCATGTGTTTTCTTTTGAATGAAAAATCGAAATTTATTTTAAGGAGAAACACATGCGGGATAATTTACAAATGTCGTTCTACAATCATAAGCCGTATTATATTGTATTATGAATCATATTTGTCAATTAAATAATTAAAAAGGTTTCTTTAGATAAGTCTCAATTATTAAAGCATACACACAGTCTCAAGCTTTTGGATATCCCTATCTACAGGAGAACATAGTTTGGTATCAGACGGCGTTTTATTCGTTTATTTATGTTCTCTTGAAGAAAGACAGAGATGTCCGAAAACTTGAGACTGTTTTAATAAAACGAAAAGAAACTCATCTAAAGAAACCTTTTTAATTATTTAATTTATTCTGAATATATTCCAATCCATTATATATATATGTCATAATATATACTCTTCCAGGAATAATAAAGCCAACCTACAGTAAACCCAGAGAGAGACGGGCGGGTAAAGTCCGGTCATTTTAGACCTCAGCGACATTCCAAGGGGCGACCACTGGGGCCCGTTACTTGGAACCTCAGGACTTTTAAGACAGTTGGGGATTGTGTGCGACACGAACGGCCGCCCGGCTCTCTCCCTCTCTCTCTCTCTCTCTCTGGTTGCCTGGGTTTCTCTTCCAACTTGTGGTGTGATTATTTCTCTTTCCACCTATTATTATATTGCCATATATATATATATAGATGGAAATTTTGCCGGGAGGAAAATGATCTAAAGAGACAAGGGTCGCCTCTCCCGTCAAAATAGACGTCTAAAACAGACGCCATCTATTGACCGTCGCCGCAACTAGCGGCCTCGGGTCGGTGACAAAGCCACAACACCAGCTTTGGCAAACTGAAAAGCGTCCACCTAGAGACCATGGTTTCGGGCTGATGGCCCTCGTCAGTCTAGGGCGGACTTTATTCCATGAGATCCACACGGGATCTAATGGAATCTTGACAATCTGCCAAAGAGGTGTTTTGCTGGCAAAGTGGCTGGGCCATATCTATGGCCAAAATATAGATGGAAATTTTGCCGGGAGGAAAATGATCTAAAGAGACAAGAGTCGCCTCTCCCGTCAAAATAGACGTCTAAAACAGACGCCATCTATTGTGGCTCCCGTGTGGATCTCATGGAATAAAGTCCGCCCTAGACTGACGAGGGCCATAAGCCCGAAACCATGGTCTCTAGGTGGACGCTTTTCAGTTTGCCAAATCTGGTGTTGTGGCTTTGTCACCGACCCGAGGCCGCTAGTTGCGGCGACGGTCAATAGATGGCGTCTGTTTTAGACGTCTATTTTGACGGGAGAGGCGACCCTTGTCTCTTTAGATATATATATATATATATATATATATATATATAACAATAAATAGTTGTATAGTTTTATAGTTAAGTTTTGTATTAAAATTATCTTCATTATTTTGATTATTTAAATTCAAATTATAAAATTTGTAAATTGTTATTATTTAGTATAGAGAGAGAGAAAAAAAAAAGTCCTTTACTTCTAAAACATCATCTAGTTAATTATATATTTATAATTAATAACAATAAAATTTAACAACGTAACGTCTTTTGCATCGGCTTTTACACGTCATTTAGACATACTCTAATTTATATATAGAATAATAGAAGTGAGAATATATTTAATATTATAAATTTTAGTAGTTAGAGAAAAGAGAGAATGACAGAACCATGCACTTTTAATCAAACTAATAATAAGAAAACAAAAAGTTTTGTAAAGAAGGTAGATAAGATTCTCAAATAGAAGTCCAGCGACATTTCATCCCTTCTCTATTATGTCATAGATATCTTTTCAACCGGATTTTATGTGTTAATAGAAAGTTACTTCAGTGAAACATTTATATGAACAGATATAACAAATATAAGTGTTAACAAATTCCAACTGTGAACCTACCTCGTCCGCGACGCCCTCAACTGTAAACATCTATTTCTGGATGACACATGTTATTCATCTTTCAATATTCCTTTAAAAAGGCAAATTATTAGAGTTTAATAAAGCTATTAATTGTGAAAATTCACTTTTATTTAATTTCCATTTTCCTCCCCAGAAATTGGAGATTAAACAAAATGAACTCTATACAATATTACTTTAAAAATCTTGTGAAAAAATCTTCAAATCAGCTATTTAATTTAAGTTTAACTAATTGTTAAAGGTTATAAATTTGTATTAGTTATTATTGAGAGAAATTATAGAAAGTTGATTTTATAAATGGATACTTCCATTTATTTTTTTTAAGTATTTTATAATTGATATACTGTTGAAATATTTTACTTGTCTGATACTAAATTTGTTTTTAATAAATTCCATGTTTAAATTTTTAACATCTTCTATGAAATTTTCTAATATATTATTTATTCTATAAAATCTTAGAAACTGACCAAAATATATACCTTTACAGCAATTTAATGATATATTAGAATTCATATTACAGTATTTTATAATATTGAAATTATAATTACTTTTTTTATTATAAATTTTAATAGCATTATTTGTAAGGTCTATATTTAGGTCTAAAAAGTTAACTTTTTTGTTTCTATAAATTTTTTCATTGTTCTTAAGTTTCAAGTATTTAGGATATATTTTAGGTATTAAGTTT